ATCTGGGTCGAAAACGTTAAACTTTAATAAAACGTTTCTCGGCATCAGGTGTTGGAGGCTTTATTAAATATTTAAAGAGCCGAGTAAGATATTTGGTTAAAAAGAATACTTTTATTTAAATTTGCGTTAAGAATAAATTAATAATAAAAAATAAACAAACCTTATTTTTATGATAAACTTTTATAATTAGAAATTAAAATATAATAGTCAATTTAAACTAATTGTTTTTATTAAAAATTTTTAATAAAAACAAGCAATTTGTAATTTATTTAAAAGTTTTTAACAATTTTTTTTAATCAAAAACACATTTATCATCATTTTAAAAATTTGTATGTAGTCTGCGAAGAAAATCAATTTTTTAAATACAGTAGTCTATTTATCGTAACTTGGCACCTACTGTAAACAAAGATTTTGTCGTATTAATCCGACGAAGATTTTCATTGGTCAAATCACAATCGGAAGTGGTTCGACACGTGTTGACCAGTTAAGTCCCTTTCTCTGCACGTGTTAAAGTAACTATATTTAATGAAATGAAATGGGTATGCTTTAATTAGAATAAATGTAAAAAAGCTGATTGAAAAAAAGATGATCGGATAATAAATCGAAAAGATAATTGAAAAAACCAGGTGCTAAATCGAAATCCTGTGATACATAACGTGTCAGAGGATTTCTTCCGACGTGCTCTTTGGGTACGCGTGCCATAGGTTCGCCACTTCTGAATCTAGAAGAGTATCACGTGATAGACCTATTACACTACACAATTTATTCTTTGCTGTATTCAATTTAAATGATGAAAGTACTTGAAAAGTGCAAACAGTAGCTGTACAGGTGCAACAGATATCATTCTGGAGCACGTCTGCGTAGTTTATACAATCCTTTGGACGAAAAAATGAGTTAACATGTTCCGAATTTGTCCTGTATTTTAGCGCAGATTGACAGGTTAATAGTCTAGAAGTTTCATCGTTTGTAGAAACTCAACAATGTTCGACAAAGCGAATGACTTAACGTGTTCTTTCCCCAAGAACTTCACATATCAATGTGCTAGATCTCAATCAAAATGCTAATCAAACTTCGATATAATTATTTTTTTATTATTTTAAGTAGAAAGTTTTCAATCAGGCCCATCACGTGAGAGGAACCACCTCACATTTAAGAAATCTCATTCATCATTGCTTGTTTATTAAGTACAAATATGTGAGGACCCGAACAGGGGTCGACTGAGAGGTCCGAATTATGGGTGTCGATTTAAAATAAAAAGCTCCTTTTCAGACGCTAAGGAAACGGATTAGGTGTCTCGATTGAACAATGCAATTGTTTTTTTTTCATAAATGTGTTAAACAATGGAAACGGATAAATTCGAGGAAAATGCGACGAGAGAGAGGAATCATATTCAGTCGCAACGTTGACCTCTCCCGCGCCCTTCATTAGGTTTCAAATTGTCACCAGGTGACTATGAGAGACCAATGGAGAGGCGACGACGGTTAAGAAATCTATAAAACCGTGCGACTCAAGGGACAAAGGTTCTTGGTTCTTGGTTCTTGGTTCTTGGTGCTCCTCTCCAGGATTTTTGTGATCCTACTTATCAACAGCGACCGATTCGTCAACTCCTGTGACTTAGTGTCGCTCTCCCGTGACGTCGTGATTTGCACGGATTTGCCTTTCACCAGAGACTTTCGCCGAAGCTGTGCCGCACGCCCCGGGGCCGTCGATCTCAACGTACGACATCGAAGGACCAAACGGAGAAAATCGGACACTTGAAGAAACTTTTAATTTGTTCCCCGAGCTGTGTTACGTTGAAAATTTGAAGAACGTTGTAAGAATCTTTTGTTATATAATAAACGGGTTAAAAATGGTAAACCTGTCTCAGAAAGTCATTCTGCGCCCACACGACAGAAAGAACCGCTCGGCTATCGAAAAACCCTCACCCTAATCGGCTGACCTCACAAATACATCACATACAACGGATCGGCTTGGCATCGATCGAATATGGAGATTAGGTTAGTCTTCAAATATCTAAAAGGAGGACATATAGGAGGACACTTTTCGAGGGAGGACAGAACTTAAAAAAAAAGGACTGTCCTCCCTAAAGGAGGACGATTGGTCACCTTAATTAATTATAGGACCACAATGGAGCGGCGGGATAGCAAGAATGGAGTCCCTCAAAAAAATTTTATGGTTTTTCGACACGTCTGGATTCAAATCCTGGGTCTCCCAGGGCGGTATTTTATGATATATCCAGATAAACCACTTCCAAAAATTTCCTAAAGTTATTCGACCCGTCCTTATTCTACCCCGGATCTTCTAGGACCTGATGGCCGAGTGGTCAAAAAGGTAGCCCCGGTATCTGGGAGACCCGGTATCGAATCCGGATGGGTCGAAAAATCATCAAAAATTTTTCAGGGGGGTGATCCGACCGGATATGTCGGCCCCGTCCCTCATTACCCGTTTTTTTTTTTAAACTCTTTCCGCCGTGTGGGCACTAAGAAGACCTCATTTAGGAAGCTCATTATCGGTTCGGCCAGGCTCACGATAGGGCGGCCTGGGTGGTGAGGGACGGGGGTTTACTACAGGTTTACGAAAGAAAAGGCCTCTTTTACTGGCCTACAGAGCAAAAAGAACTAAAAGTCTCCTCTAGTGACGAAATAGCACATTACACGTACGGTAGAAAATTATGAAATTTAATTTATAAAACTGAATAATTTTTTTCAAAAATATTAATAAAATAAAATAAAAACAGATGTTAAAAATAAAAATTATAAATAAAAATAAAATGGTTTAATTTATTAAGGTTAATAAGACTTACTACGTCACAGGAAAATAGTCGAGTCGTGACGTATACGTTAGTGGAGGTGTTTTCGGTTCTGAAAATAGTTGTGGGTTTGATCTTGATTTTGTAACGTTTGTTGTTATCGAACAATCGATGAGTTCTAATTTTTATCGACAAAACTACTCGATAATTGCGAATAATTAAGTATAATATCTAACGAGCGATTACTTGAATCGAATGAAGATGATAACTGAGGACAAAACAATACAAGAAACTCTCCCTTTCAAGTGTTTACCGGATACACAGGTTAATTGTGACCTTCGTTTACTATTTTTTACCATTATGATTACATTTCTCTTCGTTTTATTATTACTTACGTATTTTACTAAATATATAATTTAATTTTTAACTTTTATAAATAAATCGGTTTCGTTTAGTTCTATTTGTATAAAGCAACGCGTCATGTAGTTCTTCTGCCGAAGTGTTTTATGGTCCTCTGTTTTGGTGCTACTGACGAGAAACCAGAAGAAAACTCGGAAAAATTCCACATGGTCGGCATTGAGACAATTATACCTTATTGCACCTCATTCAGAAGTACAAATATACCTCCAAATTAGATGATTGGGACATATCACAACCATAGACTGTACTCGGAGCAAAAAAAAAACAGCCAAAGGAACCGCACTTTTATGTGTGCCTTTTGCGAGATACGGCCCCCAAAATCAGTCTACTTCTGAGTTGTGTCACTCCTCTAAGACTAATTTTCTGGTGTTTTGTAATCGCATAGATTCAATTCCTGATCCCCTAGATCAGGGGTTGCAATTGGAGCTGTAGACCATACTTGTAGGAGCAAAAAAGCCAAAGGAGTCACACCTTTATGTGTGCCCTTTTGCAAGAAATTGCTCCCAAAATCCATGTCGTGTGAGATTGGGAATCACGTCACTCCTCTAAGACAGTTGTGTTTAACTATTTAGCTTGTACTGTACAACTATGCTGGCTTTGAGTAGCCCACTTAACTCTGTGTGGAGGGTTTATCCCTGTGCGTGTGATATAGAGCATCAAAGTGTGCAACTATGTGCGGAGCATGGAGAGTAGGGAGTATTCCGATGTGCGGTAAAAACTTACTTTGGAGGCAATTATCTGAAAAGGCTTGCATGTATGTGTGTGGTTCCTTTGACTTTGCTTTTACTGCGGGGTGGAAAACCCTTCACTCAGAGTTTGCATCCTACCTCATTTATCAGAACTATAAATCATACCCATAGGAGAAAAAAGGCAAAGAAACCGATGGTCTGTAGACCATCGGTTTCTTTGCCTTTTGTGACCCTTTGTGAAATACTATATAGCCCTTCCTGAAATTGGCTGTCTGAAATTTTGAAGACCCTCAAAACTGTGGTACTATTTAAGTCAGAAAGTCTGGAACTGATGTTCAAAACAATGGTAAAAATGAACTGTTTTCCACTTTACTAGAGACTACTAAAAGCTCATAAAATGCAAGAAATGCTGTTGCACTTCTGGGGCACAATCAGAGTTATGCTGCATGCTCCATTCTGCCTGTTGTGTGTTTAAAAGCAATTCAGTCAAAATGAATATCTTGCCAAGGGTCACAATTAGAGATATGGACTTTTTTTGATCATCTAGGAGTCCAAACCACTCATTCAGAACTATGGTTTTACTTTATCCTTTATGATGAAATGTTAAAAGTACTTGCTTGTAGTTCAATAATTTATTTAATATTATTTCATATACATAAGAAATTATGGATTCTAGACACTATAGAAACATTCAGAGTACAGTCATGCCTTTTCTATGGTTCCATTAAAGAAATTAGGTTTTAATATATTATGTTACAAATGTTTTCATTTAGCCTTCCTCAGGCATTAGCAGAACAGAATAGAAAAATAATAAAGATTGGAACAAAAAACTTTTAGAAGACATACACTTTTGAACAAATATAAAATTTGAGTATTCAAAATGTTTTCTGGACATATATAATTCAAATAAAATACAAATTAAATTCATTAAATATTAGAGATAATAATTCTAAGCATTAAACAGATTAACAAAAATTAAAATGAAACATATGCACAATGGGATAGATGACTACATCAAATTGTAGAAGGTTTTTCCATATGTTGGATGGAACTATATTTTTCATGCATTGCATGCATTACTGGAACTATAAAAAAGATATGGTTGTACTCTGAAATCTAAACTTCCTGTTCTAGTTACATATATAACTTTTATCATATAGAAAACTGCTTAACACTCTTTTGAAACTTTTACTCTTACAATGCAAATGTTAGATTGAGAAAATAATTTATTACATAACTGAAATATTGGATTGCATAACAGATTAATTTGGATTTTTACATAATAAATTCTTGATGAAAAATAGCCGAGCATAGAAGTTTGAAAAGGATCAAACTCCACTTTTTTACAAAAAACAATTTTTAGTCAACTATTATGCTCTACAAGCTAGTGTATTCAAAAATGCCAGAGCTCCATGCTTTCAATGAGAAAAGTGGGATATCCTTTTTTCCATTATGAGAATGACCCATGTCCAGAAGTTAGAGGCATAAAATTTTATCACTAGATAGTAGCACAGTTGGCATAATAATAATAAAAATAATATTGCATATATACACATATATATATATTTTTTTAACTCTGCCCTGTGGACACTAAAAGTATCTTTTTAGTAAGCCCATTACAGATTTGGCCAGGCCCACAATGGGATGAGGGATGGGAGTCCAACATATCTGACAGACAATCTCCAAAAAAATTCCTGGAGTTTTTCAACCTGTCTGGATTCAATTCCAAGTTTTCCAGAGTGGAAGGCTGCTGACTTAATCACTTATCCATCTGGCTATCAATATTACATAGTAATATCATTTTTAAGCAATTTTTGTGCTTATAACATGATGTTAACAGTTTGAAAAAGTAAGAACTTAATAAATTAAAATATATATATATTAGTATTTTATGCCAAAATGATCAATTGAAAGGTACATTCCATGACTTAAATCTGTGAAGGATCAGAGTTGAAGTTACCTATATTCAATTATTAATTAATTTAAATGATTATGGTATATAAACCATAGATAACTACTGTTTACATACCATAATCATTTTAATAATTGAGTGTAGATGATGTTTTCATGTTTTTCTTGTGTCCTCAATTATACAAATAGATTTTTCAATAAAGTTTAAAAAAAAAAAAAGGATTATTTTATTTATTTTTCTGAAAAATGTTGGTGTTTGTGGGATTTTTTCTAAATTAAACAGTTAATTTCTTTCCTAACTAAAAAACTGAAGGATTTTTACTTATAAATGATGATTCACCTGCCTCTAATTTGACCTATTTATATTAATCAGTTATTGTAAACATTAACTTAAAGATAATGGTGATAAAAATGTCTGTCATCATAATCAGAGTGAACTTATTATAAACTTGATATCTAAATATGTTCCAAGGACATTCTATTTTAATAGATACTTAATTTTCTTGAGAACTGAAAATTGTCATTTGTAATATTTTTATCATTTAATTCACCTTTTTTTTTGTTACCTTTTGAAATTTAAAATCAATTTATCATATAGCATAATGTTTAAGCCTAGATGTATGTAACTAGACTTCAGTGTATAATTCTCAAATTTTTGTGATTGTGCTCATTTTATTTTGATTGTTGGATCATATCTTCTTACAAATTCAGCTCTGAGTGAGGTGATTGAGACCTTACCAGAGCTGTAGATCATGCTCACAGGATTATTAAAAGAGTCAAAGAAACTGATTATCGACATGAGATATAGCTCCCCGAAATTGGCCTATCCGAAAGCTTGAAGACACTCAAAAATAGAGTAAAATTTAAAAATGAAAAAATCTAGAACTGTTGCTGTTTCCCACTTTACTAGAGATGGCTAAAACCTCATAAAACACAAGAAATGCCATTGCACTGACTACTGTTGGAGTGCATGCTGCACACACTGTTAAGTTTATTACATGTTTAATAAGCTGAAAACTTTGCAGACGAATATATCACCAAAGATTACAATTAGAGATATGATTTCTTTGACTTTTTAGATTGTCTAGAAGGGTATAAAATTTGGGAGTCCAAACTTCTCATTTAGAACTGAAATTTTACCCTATTATGGATGCTGTCAATTATGAATTTTTCATTAGTTGTAACTTCTGCAATGTTAAAATTTATTATATAATGGCTTCAAACTGTTTGAAGTAATCACTAGGATATTGTTCAACTTTGTCATATTGCAATAAAAATGAGGTGGAGGCAAAAAGAAAGAAGTGATTTTTTTCACTTGTTACATACAGAAAAGATGATCTTGTATCTGACAGTTGCAGACAGGTAAACTTTGCACTTGCTACCACAAAAGCGGCTATCTTTGCACCTGCTGGTCACGGGAGAGGTGATCCTTGTACCCTGCAAGCCACAGGAGATGCTTTCACTGGCCAGGCACACAGAGGCGATCTTTGCACTTTAAGATATGGAGAGGCAATCCAAGAACAAAGCAATCAATGCCCACCAGTGGTTAAGTGGACAAAACCACTGCACTGATAGTTGGTTGTGAGTTCATGTGAGTTTTCCAGATTTTCTTCACATTAGTAACACCTAAATAAAGGCCAGTTTTCTGTAAAAGACCTCCTCAGAGACATCCTCCTTTGGCAGATCGTCCAAATGTCATGTTGCCTTTTACGAATAAACCCAAAACTAAAAGCAATCGATGCCAGTTGCTTTGTTCTTGTGTTCTGTTTATTTTTTTAAGTCTGTTTTCTGTTAGGTGCATGCAGTACTCTATTTTTAATTTATTTGACCCCTATTATATTGAAAACAAAATCATGGATCCCTATTTTCTATACAGTAAGCGTCGATTATCTGAAAGTCAATCATCTGAAACATCAATCATCTGAAAGAATTCCAGTCGGCAAATTTAAATTTTCGCCAGTGCTGTGGCTGTACAAAATAAAAAAATAATTTTTAAAGATATAATAGTCTTCGTTAGGCTTAACATCGATGAAAATTCAACGCAAAGCTACATGCAATGGAGAAAAATGTCAAGATGGGATAAGTTTATATATTTTTTCGTACATAATCAGTTATCCGAAACATTGATTTTCCGAACAACCCCAGTCCCCAATTGATTCAGATAATCGATGCTCTACTGTATTTACATTTATTACATTTCTGAATTCTTCATTGCAATCAATATAAAATGGCAAAGTTTTATCAAAATTGGCCTGTCAAATTTTGAGAACGAACTCAATTCAATAAGCCACTCAGAAGATATGCTCGCGACCTTGCGAAATTGTGCAATATTGCTTTGTTACACATGCTCTTGTTAGGACCTTATGTCTCAAAAATGAAGTCATGAGTCCTTTTTTTTATTTCGCTTTTGGATTCTTCATAGTAATTAAAGGAAAATGGCAAAGTTTTATGAAAATTGATTGAACAGATTTCAATATGAATTGATAACAAAATAAATAAATATGTTCTAGAAGAAATTGTGAATAAATATTTTGTGGATAATTAAGTTTTTACAACCTAATTGCTGTATATTAATATGATATAAAGCCAGCATTAAAAAATTAATGTAGATGTCAATATATTCAGTTTTATACCATTTAGTTCTATTAATTTATAGGACAAATTCCTAATTTATAAGATTGATTTTATTGCTGTATTAAAGAATGACAGGAGGAAATTTTTAATATTCATGTTTTATCTCAGTTTTTCATTTGTCCTGGATATCACATAGTTGTGAAACATGTTTTAAAATGAGTTCATGTCATTATTTCAGACATTTTGGGTAGATAAATTAGTCTTTTTTTTTTTTTTTTTATGTATGTAGTTCTTTATCTAGAACTATTAAGTTGGTTACCAAATAAATATCAGTTTACATTTAGGATTTTTATAAGAATTATAAAATTATTTCATTTTTTTCTTCTAACTGTGCCTTGTGGACAGAGAGGATCATCTTATCATGCCTGTTATCATACCATGGGTTTGGTCAAGTGTGTAACGAGGGTGACTAAGTGAAGGATGGAGCCCAATGTATTTGAGATGTAACACCCCACAAAAGGTTTCTGGGGTTTCTTGATCATCTAGATTCAATTCCTGTTCCCCTAGAGCAGGGCTTCTTAAACTTTTTTTATTCTTTATTTTTATTATTGACCCCATTTATGATTGTGAATTTTTCATGACCCAAAAAAATATAAAATAAAGATATATATACAAATTTGCAAAACCAATAATGGTGTACTACCACAGTTCACTCTTGTGTTACAATGGAAATGAGACAACTGAATACACTGAAAAGTGACAACACTACACTAGTTCACACTAAAATCAGTGTTGCTGAATTGTTGTCTCGCTGCACCAGAAGTGACACAAAGCGCAACTCATGAAACCTATGACACAAAGCATGTCATTTTCAAACTCTCTCAAATTATTTTCAATATTTTGCATTAAAATCTCGCGACCCCAAATGGAGTCACGACCCATAGTTTAAGAAGCCCTGCCCAAGAGCAACAGGCTGGTGCCTTAACTATCTAAGCCATCCAGTCAACATCATTATCTATTTTTAAAAATTCTCATAAATTGTTACAGTGCCAGATCAAATATTTGGCAAGCTTAGGTCTGGATTTCTTGGTTTTCTGGACACATACTAAACATATATGTAAATTGCAAAATAAGCAATAGAAAGTAAAGAAAGAAATTTGTATTTAACTTATCAAATGCCAGCAGTCACAGAAACTGAGTAGCCACACAGTGTATTACATCCTACCAAATTCAAAAATATCTTGTTTTTTGTTAATTCTGGTGGATTTCTGGAAGCTCGATATTTAGTCCAGTACTTTATTAAATTTTCATCTCTGATAGATGTGATCAAATTATAAATTTATTTAGAATTTTTCATGCTTATTATTTGTAAATTTTTTAGAATAATGTAGAAATTATCTGTAAAAATAAGATTTAAAATATATTTAATAATGGGTGATAATTTTTGAAATTTAATATTCAAATATTTACTTAATTTAGATATTTAAGGACCATGACCAGTTACGACAGAGGCTACAGAAGACACTCTACTATAGCAAATTGCCCACAACTGATTGCCCATCTCTACCATTAACTGGTAATATTTCTAAACTTGAAAAACAATATTATTATGATACTGATTTAAAGATACAGATAATTTGTAATTTTTAATCCTCCAAGAGATTAATATGTACTTAAGTTTGTAAGATTTACAACTCAGTTTTCATAGTGAATTTTTGAGCACCGAAGACATTAAGTTATCAAAAATTTCAGATTATAAAGCTAAGTTCACACTGTCACATGATCCATTATGAATGAACAAAATGAATACTAATCAAAGCAAGATGCTGTTGGTATCATATTATATGACAGAGTTAAAACATGAATGGTTTGAAAAAGTTTGAAACACTAGTTGCAATAAAGTTTATTGGTCGAACAAACTGAAGTTTAGCAAAAGTTGAGATATTTTCAACTTCTAACAAACTGGTGAATGGCTGTTGAAAGGATACTGGCAGTTGACTTTATAGCATCATACACCAATGTCAACCTAGCTTAAGACAAAATCTTCAAAAGAAAACTTCAGAAATATCTCAAAAAATTGTGAGGACCCAACCGAGGTCCGAATCATGTAAATTGCGATATTCCTATGATTAAATAATAACGATAGATTAAATATGAGAAGGAGAGGAAAATCCCATAATTTAAACAACGCGGCACAAAATGTAGACAACAAGTCTCGGATGACTCGAACACGTGTTAAACTAACTGTCAATGTCAGAGTGAAAAGTTATAAGTCAGAGACAAGTGGTCATATGCAGGTAGAACTTTGACCCCCACGCTCATAAACAGTCAATCTAGGGAAACAATTTCTGAAAAGAGGGAAAGATTTAAGAGAGATAAATCATTGCATATGATCGTTCGAGTACCCAGATGACAGAAATCGCGAGTAACGGAGTTAAATTATGAGCGCAAGTCTTGCAATTTTGTCAACAATCCCCAAGAACAATCGACAGAAAGGCGTCAAGCGGACACCTGGAATCGGACCTTTCCCGTGACCCGAGTCGGTCTCAGTTTATCCCAAAACAAAAGAGAGACACCAATCGGGAAGTGTGGAAGGGGACGAGGGGCCAATCAGAAGTCCGAATAGTGGGAGGAAAAACTATAAAAATCGGAAAATCAAGGTCAAGAGGGCTCTCCTCTGTAGTCCACAAAAGGTTGTGATTTAAATTGTGGTGTGTCGTCGCCAAGAACTTTGGACTCTGCTTCCTCCTTCCGATCGTCCGCCTAGCTCAGCGACCTCATCTCGTCCGCCCCGGGGCCTGACAGACGCCGAAGTCCTCGCCTCTCCGCATCTTCGACGAAAAGAACCCTAGTGAAGGACTGTCGATTGCCGATGTAAGCATATATGTTAACAAATGAACGGCTTTCTTGTGTAAAACACTTGTCGTCATTTGCCTCCTCCGTCACTGCCCACATACAACCTTCCCTTAGGTCCATCCTGACGCGGGATTAATAGATCCCACCTAAGAGACGGCATCCTTACACAGTTGCCGTGAAGTGGGTTTCAAACCCCCTATCTCCCCCGGATCGGCCATCTTACAAAATGTCTTCAAATAACACAATAAAATACCTTACTTTCTTGCTTACAGAAACTTGTCTATATTATAAACACTTTTTTATTACACAATCTGCAATATAAAGTATTTAGTTACGATTCTTGCCGGCATTACCAGAAAGTACTACAGAAACAGAAAACAGAGTTATAAAAGTATTTGTCTATGTCACTCTATCTAGAAATTTCTCTTAGAATTTATACAGAAACCCATAGCAAGAAAATATTTCACATTTTTTTTTATTTCTGTTGTATTTTGACCAATAGGAAGTGTAAGAGTTACAATGCATTGGTACATTGTATTACAAACTGAAAATAGCAGAATATTTGAGAAAAGCAATATGCAATATTCTTTTTTCTATAACAAGACAGACACAATACAAAGATGTCAGTCTTCACCAAAATCAAATTCTTGTTTGTTAATGCATAAAACAAATTGATGCATTATAATGCTTTGATTTGTTCCCAAAGACTTGTTTCTAATTTCTAAATAACTTCCCATCTTAATCTTTTTATTTATTCATATATGTAAATGAAACATTAATTTATTAGAAATATTATATCTGATTTACTAAATTGACAGATTAAATATATTTTATTAGAATTCACAGTAGAGTGGTTTTCTTCAAAAGTTCCAGACTGTGGCTTGAAAGTATTAGACATGCATTATGCATCATCTGTATCAAGGTAAAGTTCATATATATTTTATCATCAATCTTGTACATGACTTAATTTTCTTTTCTTTTTGTATATTGTTTAAATGCATTATACAAATAATAAATTGAAACTGTTTTGTTAAGAATTACACATACAAATTCAGTTATACAGTAAAAAAGTTAAGTGTTAACTTGCACTGTACTTTTGTGATGATTATATTCACTCTGAAATCAATTCAAAAGTGGTTTCACTTGTAGATTTTTTTTCGCTTACATGATGTTTTTCTTATCTGTTTCAATATAAAAACTGGATTCAATTGTATATTAAATTAATAGTAAATTTATCTTTATTTTATTGTTAGGAAAGCTGGTATATCTCCGTGTTCTATGATGTTGGCTATGGTATATTTGGAACAGCTTCGAAGGAAAAACCCAGAATATTTACAAACTGTTTCATCTTGTGATTTATTCTTGGTGTCTATGGTAACAATTATTATTAATTAATAATTTATACTTATTGTTTTGTATGAAAAATTAATTTTTAATTATATTTATACTTAGATGATAGCATCAAAATTTCTATATGATGAAGGAGAAATTGAGGAAGTTTTCAATAGTGAATGGGCCATATCATCTAATATGGATTTGAAAGAACTTAATAAACTTGAAAGGGAGTTCCTTGCTGCTATTGTAAGTTGTTTTGGAATTACAATTTATTAAATTATGAGTATAATAGAACTTTATTATCAAAAATAATTTAGAGTATATACACTACAACTTCACTTTTTGATGAAGGATTAAAATATTTTGAATAAAATTTAACAGTACCTAAATATATAAACACAACTCAACAAACCTGATTTTTGATTAAAGCCAGATGATCTGCCAAATTACAGCACTGATTAGGCTAAATTAATAATTATTAACTTATCCTAATCATAGCTTGATAATTTGGAGATAGTCTGGCTTTAACAATTGTAAATTTCACACTTCTTACATTTTAATGTTTTGACTGCACCAAATACTCTTTAGAAGTATTTTGTTAATTAAAAGTTATTTATTAAATATTTATACAAGTGAATTATAAAAAAACTACCTTCTTCTGTAGTGATATGAAATCTTATAATTGTTCATTTTCAGAGTTAAACCATTCTTTAGAACATTGAAAGTTTTGAATATGGACAAAAAGCATCTGAAAGCATTTAGGTTATGGATTGTAAAATTCTGTAGTACTCCAGAAGAAGCAGATAGTTTTTGTAATTTTTATGAAACTGGAATGTAATAGTAATAAATATTTCTCACAAGCAGAATTCTTTTATATTTTTTTGCAAAGGATTTAAAAATATTTTATTACTTTATAGAAATTCTTAAGTTTCAAAATCTATTATGATTATATCTTTGAATTAATATATTATGGTGAAAAATTGTCAGGTAGATAGCCAAATACTAGATTACATCCAAATTCCTTGAGAAAACTCGGTTCTGATTTGATCTAAACGATTGATAACACTAAATGCTCATAATTTATTTTAGGTAGTTCTGGATTAAGACATTATCATCATTTATGCTGGCCACCTTATTGCTAGTTCAGCTTGCACATAATAAACAAAATTGAGATCAACCATTTAGTTTGCATGCATCATCAAATAAAATTAATGGAGAAATTCAAGAGATGTTTACATTAAAAACAATAAATTTACAACAAATTTTTGTAAATTGTATATTAAATCTACTAACTCTAGAGATGCAGTGATGTTAGAGAAAGGCATTTAACTTTACAAATTATTAGTTTACAAAAATATAACCATGTATTACAGTAGAGCATCGATTATCCGACTCAATTGGGGACTCAGGTTGGTTGGATAACTGAAAAAATCAGATAACTGAAAAGAAGGGAAAAAATACATTATTAGTATAGTATATTAGGATATTAGTATATCCCATGTAATTAGTTTATTAGTATATCGCTATTAACCAACTTTGCATTGAATTTTCATCGATGTTTAGCTTAACGAATTTTTTAAAAAATAATAAACGTCGCTATTGTATCGTTAAAAATTATTTTAAAATTATTTTATTGCTCACAAAACAAACAACCACTCATAATTAGAAAATTAAGTCTCGTTTAAATACTGGCCTCTCTTCAATGGTCGAGCCGNTCATCATCAACTCGTCTCGATTATATATATAGATTGTGTAAGGATAAGAAGTCGTATTATTTGAAAGTAAAATGTTTAAATCGTGAAAAACAAACAAAACTACAAGAAAAAAGCTTAACGGATTCATTTTTCTCTCGCTTCTCATTCAAATAGTTTACTCCAAAATAATTCCGTTTGTGGAATGGAATTCGATTTTTCAAATGTAATAAAATTTAATTGCTAGAACTTTCTAAACAAGCTAAATATTTACTAAGCAATTTCTTGTAATTATCATATAAATTTAAATAAACCAGCAACTAGTTAAACTTTCCAGGCATTTAAAATTTTAGTGGCGCCATCTGTTATCATATTTTATTTTAAAAACTTTTGAATGGGTTTTATAAAAAATTATAAATGCTAATAACGAGTAAAACCGTCATTAAGTCCGACCCTACTGGTGATGTACACGACCCCCTTTACCTCCTGGGGAGGACTTTACAGGGGAATCTGACCCCTAGATATTAGACACAAAAACCCAAACTTCCACAAATCAAACCTGTTGGTCTGGCATACACAACCAGAAGCCATTGGCGGGCTTTATTCAGGATTGGACTGGTGATGAAAAATTCCTGGGGAGTTATTCATCTGGATTTGATTCTCGGTCCCCCAGAATGGCAGGTTGATGTGGTCATCCATGTATTTATATTTTGACATGTAAGAAAATCAATATAAATAATAGCCCACATTTTATCTAAACAGTACTTATTACAATATTTATCAATACATTTATAATTGCTATAAACCATTTTATATACATCATATAAAAAACTTTTCAACTTTGCATTTTTATTTTGTCTTTTAACAGCATCAGTAACATCAGTTTAGAACATTTTCATTAACAAATAAATCACGTTCAACAACATTAATTACATATTGTAACATTATTACAATGCATTTCTCTTATGTCTGGCTGGTATTGCATTTTATCTAACACTGTAGTATGTACGACCAAATGCACTGAACTTTACGCTGCTATGCGGATACCGTTACAAGCTCTAAACTGCATGTTTCTTTAACACGAAGCTAACACGTCTGCGTAACTCCTCTCTCTCTCTATATATATATATATATGCTGATATTTTGATGACGATTGTATAAATTATTCTTATTACTATATGAAAATGAGAGTATTTTTTTTTATATGTAAATATATCAATTCTGTCAAAACTATAATAATAAATTATTTGGTTTTTTTTGCAAAATTTTGTATTAATTTAACTATAAAAACATTCTTTTGGAATTTTTTTGAATACAAAAATTTACTAGCTTTTTTTAGTTTTAAAAAGTATTATGATATCAAAATAATGACAGTTATTATACAGGATGTGCCATAAATCTGAAGCTACAGGAGTTATGTTACTCATTGTTTATTCTTTTTCAGATAAAGTATGGTGCTAAATAAAGAGAAACTTATTTTGATGGTATGAAATTGCCAAAGAGTATAACAGGTTGACTCCACACTTTCCACCAATTGCATACAACAGTATTGTTAAACTATTTGGCAACTTTGTACTGACTGTGGGTTCAAACTATTAAAATAACATGAATTTGTCCCTCCTCACTCAACACCCTGATTTACCTGTAGAAGAATGAACAAAAATAAATAAAACTCCTATGATTCCATGCTTATGAGACACCCTGTATGAAACTTGGTGAAAACATACAATAACCAACAGGTAATGAAATTAATTATCTTAGCCAGGTTGCTTCAACTGTCTATTCTGAGATGGGAATGTATGAATCCTATTGAGAGGTTTATATGCAATGGTTCTGACAAATGGAAAATTATGATTACAAGCATTATGATGTGGCTTATATACAGATACTTGCTTCCAGCTATTATTATCCACTATAGATTGTTCACCAATGATTATAGTTTCAATTTTGTCCATATTTACTTCAACATCAATTTTCATAGGAGTAGAAGAGGAGTTATGAATTGCGACAGATAAATCTATATCCAAATTTGTATTTTCTTTTGCATTTCTCAGTATTCTGTTCATTGGACTGTAACGATTAACCATGGTCACTGAACCCACAAGCATTAATGCTGCAGCAACGTATGCTATCATTGATACTGCAATAATCTAAAAATAAAAATTATCATTATAAAAAACTATTAATTTATGTAACAATTATGTAAAATTAATGAGAACTGCACCTGAACCACATTATCGATTATAATAGTCCAACACTGTAACATCACCGATCCTCGACTCAATACGGAGATATCTGTATATGTCAACCATCCACGTTTTGATATTTCCTTCTGGGCAATCCTAAAAATAATTTTTTATAATTTTCAATTGTACACATTACATTTCCTACAAAACCATTTATTAAAGACTGAATATGTTTATAAATAATTATTATTTTTATGTTTTAGCCTTTTTATCAAGTCCAACTATGAGGCAGCCAAGTGATGTGGGACCTGACATCTAGGATGAATCACCCTGCAAAAACTTCCTGGAATTTTGTGACCTGGCATTCATTCCATGTCTCCCAGAGCAACAGGTTGACACCTTGGTCATCCGGCTGTCTATATCAATAGGTTAAATATAATAAATTTGTTACACCTACTGACATTTGTATACATGGATCTTTATTTAGGCTGAGCATAGACTATAAACTATATGCACATCTGTAGTCTATATTGAAGTTCAGTACACAATTTTAAATTGTTTATTGTTTTAGAAAACATTTGTAAAGTTGAACAAGTTAAACAAGAATGACAATGTCAGTACAGTCGACCCCCCTATAACACTGTTAATTATTCCGTTTTATATGAATTCCATGTTGTACGAGTCACTTAGATTTTACAAATACGTGAGCCGTTCACAGCCCGGCACACATATTTGTAAAATCTAAGTGACTCGTACAACATGGAATTCATATAAAACGGAATAATTAACAGTGTTATAGGGGGGTCGACTGTACTGACATTGTCATTCTTGTTTAACTTGTTCAACTTTACAAATGTTTTCTAAAACAATAAACAATTTAAAATTGTGTACTGAACTTCAATATAGACTACAGATGTGCATATAGTTTATAGTCTATGCTCAGCCTAAATAAAGATCCATGTATACAAATGTCAGTAGGTGTAACAAATTTATTATATTTAACCTATTGATATAGACAGCCGGATGACCAAGGTGTCAACCTGTTGCTCTGGGAGACATGGAATGAATGCCAGGTCACAAAATTCCAGGAAGTTTTTGCAGGGTGATTCATCCTAGATGTCAGGTCCCACATCACTTGGCTGCCTCATAGTTGGACTTGATAAAAAGGCTAAAACATAAAAATAATAATTATTTATAAACATATTCAGTCTTTAATAAATGGTTTTGTAGGAAATGTAATGTGTACAATTGAAAATTATAAAAAATTATTTTTAGGATTGCCCAGAAGGAAATATCAAAACGTGGATGGTTGACATATACAGATATCTCCGTATTGAGTCGAGGATCGGTGATGTTACAGTGTTGGACTATTATAATCGATAATGTGGTTCAGGTGCAGTTCTCATTAATTTTACATAATTGTTACATAAATTAATAGTTTTTTATAATGATAATTTTTATTTTTAGATTATTGCAGTATCAATGATAGCATACGTTGCTGCAGCATTAATGCTTGTGGGTTCAGTGACCATGGTTAATCGTTACAGTCCAATGAACAGAATACTGAGAAATGCAAAAGAAAATACAAATTTGGATATAGATTTATCTGTCGCAATTCATAACTCCTCTTCTACTCCTATGAAAATTGATGTTGAAGTAAATATGGACAAAATTGAAACTATAATCATTGGTGAACAATCTATAGTGGATAATAATAGCTGGAAGCAAGTATCTGTATATAAGCCACATCATAATGCTTGTAATCATAATTTTCCATTTGTCAGAACCATTGCATATAAACCTCTCAATAGGATTCATACATTCCCATCTCAGAATAGACAGTTGAAGCAACCTGGCTAAGATAATTAATTTCATTACCTGTTGGTTATTGTATGTTTTCACCAAGTTTCATACAGGGTGTCTCATAAGCATGGAATCATAGGAGTTTTATTTATTTTTGTTCATTCTTCTACAGGTAAATCAGGGTGTTGAGTGAGGAGGGACAAATTCATGTTATTTTAATAGTTTGAACCCACAGTCAGTACAAAGTTGCCAAATAGTTTAACAATACTGTTGTATGCAATTGGTGGAAAGTGTGGAGTCAACCTGTTATACTCTTTGGCAATTTCATACCATCAAAATAAGTTTCTCTTTATTTAGCACCATACTTTATCTGAAAAAGAATAAACAATGAGTAACATAACTCCTGTAGCTTCAGATTTATGGCACATCCTATATAATAACTGTCATTATTTTGATATCATAATACTTTTTAAAACTAAAAAAAGCTAGTAAATTTTTGTATTCAAAAAAATTCCAAAAGAATGTTTTTATAGTTAAATTAATACAAAATTTTGCAAAAAAAACCAAATAATTTATTATTATAGTTTTGACAGAATTGATATATTTACATATAAAAAAAAATACTCTCATTTTCATATAGTAATAAGAATAATTTATACAATCGTCATCAAAATATCAGCATATATATATATATATAGAGAGAGAGAGGAGTTACGCAGACGTGTTAGCTTCGTGTTAAAGAAACATGCAGTTTAGAGCTTGTAACGGTATCCGCATAGCAGCGTAAAGTTCAGTGCATTTGGTCGTACATACTACAGTGTTAGATAAAATGCAATACCAGCCAGACATAAGAGAAATGCATTGTAATAATGTTACAATATGTAATTAATGTTGTTGAACGTGATTTATTTGTTAATGAAAATGTTCTAAACTGATGTTACTGATGCTGTTAAAAGACAAAATAAAAATGCAAAGTTGAAAAGTTTTTTATATGATGTATATAAAATGGTTTATAGCAATTATAAATGTATTGATAAATATTGTAATAAGTACTGTTTAGATAAAATGTGGGCTATTATTTATATTGATTTTCTTACATGTCAAAATACAAATACATGGATGACCACATCAACCTGCCATTCTGGGGGACCGAGAATCAAATCCAGATGAATAACTCCCCAGGAATTTTTCATCACCAGTCCAATCCTGAATAAAGCCCGCCAATGGCTTCTGGTTGTGTATGCCAGACCAACAGGTTTGATTTGTGGAAGTTTGGGTTTTTGTGTCTAATATCTAGGGGTCAGATTCCCCTGTAAAGTCCTCCCCAGGAGGTAAAGGGGGTCGTGTACATCACCAGTAGGGTCGGACTTAATGACGGTTTTACTCGTTATTAGCATTTATAATTTTTTATAAAACCCATTCAAAAGTTTTTAAAATAAAATATGATAACAGATGGCGCCACTAAAATTTTAAATGCCTGGAAAGTTTAACTAGTTGCTGGTTTATTTAAATTTATATGATAATTACAAGAAATTGCTTAGTAAATATTTAGCTTGTTTAGAAAGTTCTAGCAATTAAATTTTATTACATTTGAAAAATCGAATTCCATTCCACAAACGGAATTATTTTGGAGTAAACTATTTGAATGAGAAGCGAGAGAAAAATGAATCCGTTAAGCTTTTTTCTTGTAGTTTTGTTTGTTTTTCACGATTTAAACATTTTACTTTCAAATAATACGACTTCTTATCCTTACACAATCTATATATATAATCGAGACGAGTTGATGATAAGCGCAGAGCCCAAACGGTTGAAAGTTGAAATTTGGTACACAGATAGGGTACTTCACGAAAACGCACTCTAAGAAGGGATTTTTCGAAATCCTCCCCGGGGGGGGAGAGGATTAAGTCTTAACACTTCCATCAACAATGAAAGTGTTAAGAGAAGTGCAAGACGCAGATGCAGATTTTTCGTTTTTGTGGGAAATCGAACATATTTTTAGAACCATCTAAAAATTCTCTGATCAGTCCGGAAACAGGGGGACTGGAAGTTTAAAATGGGAGTTTCTGGAAGTTTGGTCTCTATCTGGAAGTTTAAAATAATAATAAAAACGTGTGAAATGGCGCAGAACAAACGAAACAATGCAGAAACTGCATTATTCTAATTGGGATTTCGGGCCGTTTGGATTTGCTCATTATCCGGATAATTAGATTTTTACTTAAAATAGTCAATTTTTCCCCTATCTAAACACCATACTATGTATTTTAGTGTACATACTCGTGTAAATAAATATTGAAAATTTAACTACAAATAAATAGTGTTGTCTACATTAAAAAATACTTCTCATGCATATACGTATAAATGCGTGTCTTTTTAACAAGGTTGGAGGGCAATTGCATAATTGGAGTTTTACTGTACTCCGCTGCATTAAAACGCTTTATTACAGTCCTTGTCCAACTTTGAGTGTAAAAGATAACTTGTTTTTCGCCATTTATTCTAGACGAAAAAATTCTATATAGACTTAGTGTTTTCAAAATCTATAAATATTTTTAATCTATTGTTTACAACTCAAACAGAAGTACAGTGTCATATAACAGGCAACGGCGGATACGAGGCATTAAGGCTCCAGGACAAAACTAGTTTGAACTTTAAAGCGTTTTCAAAAAGAATTACGATGCAAATACGGTTTATCGGACATCCGCAATACGATCGTCTCGTGAAAGGTTAACGTAAGGTCAGGACACCAATGAAGCCACCATTTTGGATTCGCAGTTCCAAGGTCACTATAAATTTCATGCTATCTACCAGTGGCGTGCAGTCCATGAAAGCTGTGGAATCACCGCTTTCCTTGTATTTTCTAAAATATAAATACACATTGTGCGATTATTTTCATATTTTAACGTACTTTGAATTAATTANGGCAACGGCGGATACGAGGCATTAAGGCTCTAGGACAAAACCAGTTTGAACAGTGTCATATAACAGGCAGTGTCATATAGACAGTGTCATATAACAGGCAACGGCGGATACGAGGCATTAAGGCTCTAGGACAAAACTAGTTTGAACTTTAAAGCGTTTTCAAAAAGAATTACGATGCAAGTACGGTTTATCGGACATCCGCAATACGATCGTCTCGTGAAAGATTAACGTAAGGTCAGGACACCAATGAAGCCGCCATTTTGGATTCGCAGTTCCAAGGTCACTATAAATTTCATGCTATCTACCAGTGGCGTGCAGTCCATGGAAGCTGTGGAATCGCCGCTTTCCTTGTATTTTCTAAAATATAAATACACATTGTGCGATTATTTTCATATTTTAACGTACTTTAAATTAATTGAAATTAATAATTTATTATAACCGCATTATGTATCTTATTACAAATTTCTATACTATATATGAAAAAAAATGATAAGATTGCTATTGTATATTCGAATATAAATCCGTATATGCATATTCCCAACAGAAGCGCTGAATTGTCGAATACGGGACAACTTCCACGGCGAAAATATTTGAATTGTGTAACGCTTCCAATGATTCTATCCAGGGTTGGCACAGCTTCCCTATCATCAAATGTCACTGCATGCCATTGCAATCTACATGCTGTAAACTGTAAACGAGTTAATTTTGTAATAAATTGATATCAAATTTAATACGAATTAAAGCTGTTCAGTAAATTAAATTTTAAAGATATACATTTTCTGTTAAAATAACTTGTACTTTTTTCCTTTCAGTCACAAAACAGTGTGCTTTCTGGAAGTGTTAATCGATTACACTTATTTCCAACACATGAGCTCGATCTGCAACGTGTGGTTGCTGAAGTTTTATATCATACTGGGATCGTAGATGAAATATTTCGAAACAGCGACCTAAACGAAGACCAAATACCCGATGATGTCGGATTTAATGTTAAAAAAAATAACGATTTTCGATAATAAAGATGATCTGGGAAATCCTTTATCAATAGAAACAAACGATCACAACGTATTTCTAGATTCTTTATCTGGATATCGCCATCCTTGCTGCATGCTGATATGCTTTTGCCAACGATTGCGTGACTGGAGACGCAAAGAAANGTATTAGACTTACGGTACCTAATTTACATACTGTACAGACGATAGTAAACTCAATTTACCCGCCTAAACTCTCCGTAGCGTGGCGCTGGACGGTGGAAAGTAGTTTGGCTGCCCAATGACGTTTTACCGAATTATAGGAGTTTTTTTTACCATGTTTGTATGGATACCGTCGCAATTTTTTCGCCGTCATATAGGAATCCGAACTATAGGAACCCGTGTTATAGGGGGGCCACTGTAACGATATCTGTAATCGGGAAACGGCTTTATCACCAGACGATCTGTACAAACCTACCTACACCAAGTTGATTGCCCTGGAACAAACTGGAGCCGCACAATTCAGACAGTCCGCGTATTTTTTCAACAGACCACGTATACATCAGGAATGTACGAGATTTCTGTGTACCGCTTATTTAAGGCCCACTTGGGTGAAGACAGAAGATGCCATTTGCATTAATTTTAAAATCAAAATGAAAATTTATATTTTGTTTAAATATCGGATTTATGTCTTCAATTTAATAAAATGATTTAACAAAACGTTATTAAGTGAATATAATATATGTATCAAAATGAAACTGCTTAATAGTTTTGAAAAAGACAGCTTCACAAAATTTGGAAAATTCTAAATCAGTGAATTAAACAATTATAATATTAGAGAGGTTGAGGCTGAGGTTTAAAATGTGAAAACGTGTACATCGGACGTTTAGCGCCGCTTTCCTGTAAGCCTAGAAGTTTGACAATGGTGTTTGGATAGTCAGTGGAAACATGCTTGACATTCCAAACACCATTGTCAAACTTCTAGGCTTATAGGAAAGCAGCGTTGAATGCCCGGCATACATGCTTTCACGTTTAAAACTTCGGCCTCAACCTTGTTATTAAATATATATTACATAAGCTGTACTAAAATTTATATTTTGTTCCATTTGAAATGGAGAATTGTCAAGTAAATATGAATCATCTTAAATAATAACAGTTAATTTACTACTTTTTAATAATCTTAATAATAATAATTTATATAAATATGTTCACATATATATTTGACATTTAAATTCAATATGGTATCTATTCACATTTATTTATGCACTCATGTTTATCATATTGTAATCAATCTTTTACCTGTTTTGATATTTTAAGTTTGTAGTGTAAAACAAAAGAAAATTAAGACAAAATTTAAAAACTAAATCTATAGCAAATTACATATTTTTATGTTCTCTTCATATGCCATATCAGGTCACCCCAATGTCAGCGAACACCCGGTGCAGGTTAGCATGGATTAGTTTGTGCACCAAGTGATGTCCTGGGGGAAGTTAGTACCAGAATGGTTCCCCCATTGCCTTCTCTAGATATTCAACGTTTTCTTGAAATCCAAAACCAGCATCTCATCAATGTGTTTTTAATTAATGTTATTTGTTCCACC